AACAGAACTTGCCTCGATTGCAAAGCTACCAAACCTGTTCGCCACACTTGCTGCACATCACTTGGAGGTGTGATAAGCGGCAGAAGAAGAACTTCCCTTCTCATAGTCCTTCGACAAATACTTCCGTTTCGTTGCTGCCTCACAATCAATGCTAGTTGCGTCACTTCCAACCACTCTCTACCCCAAATCATGAAGAATGACGTGTCACAGTCACCGCTGATTCGCATAAGTGGAGTCTAGTGTGTTAAGCACAACTTCCAGTCGTGCCTAATGCGAGTGGTGATGAAACAAAGGATGTACACTGAGTTCAGTGGGAGAAGTGATGGTGGAAGCTGAGTAAATAAACATCCAACCCATGTGCATTGGCAGATGACAAATAGTAAGTCTCAGAAACGGCACGCTTCTCCTTCACTCCTTTTGCGTCATTTACTAAAATGCCCTGTGCATGTTAAACTGTTGCCTCATTCACTGACTTGTGATGAGGCACGTCTCCTGTGATGCAACGTTAGACGAACGAGTACATTACTGATCGTCCGAAAACGCTCCACTCACTACCCACCCCAAACCTCCGGATCACCACATCAGCTCCGGGGGACCGTGCCGCCTTTGTGTGTGATGCGTCGAAGATGGCAATTTTCACCGAATCGTTTATTTGCTGTGGGCCGAGCATATACGACCGAGATCCATCTGCCTAATACGACTCCTCTCCTCTCACTTCTTTACCTTATTCTGGAAAAGCAGCCAATGATAGTCCTTCAGTTAGTAGCGGGAAAGTTCTGCCTTTGATCTCGCAAGACAACGCATGCCCTCATATTTCGGACAGTAGAACCTGTCTGTAAAAAATTTCTTATCATACGCGAGTGAAGTGGGAGAGAAGGGTATACTGCCACACCTCGTTCTCCGTATTCCTTCCGCTGTCATTTGTCCAAGCTTCGAGTGATAACCATCTTGCCTTGGCAATAAAGCGTCGCCCGACTGCATGCAAAACAGAGTAGACAGGTGGGTAATAAAGG